GGAAAAGAAAAATGTACAGGATCGTCATAAGAATATTTGAAGGAGTTCATCAAATTGGTTTATCAAATGAACAAAAAGAAATTTGAATAATTTACATTCGTAAATTGTGAATGCGATGGTGACTTATGCTATAAAAAAATATTTTGAAATATGATTGTAGGCATGAAACTTTAACAAAAACATAAATTATTGAAGAATATGGAAAAAATAAGAAATTGATGTGTGGTAATGAACCAACTCCTAATATTGTCAAATAAAATAATAATAAATGTCATTTATTGGTGAATACCAAAGGGCCATCCACCGATGTCTTTCAGCTAGTGTACCATTTTTAAATATTTACAGTGATTTTTACATATGCTTACATAATAGACTTCAGGTACATGCACTGTTTGGAACCAAAGGTTCCAAACAGTGCATCACAAGTGTGAATTCACAAGTGTTATTTACAAGAAAATTCGCACAAAACTGCATGAAGATTATAAGAAAAACTTAATATCCTGTAATTTAAGGAAAAGGCATTTTTCGTTCAATGTAGATGATTAAGTTTGTAGAAGAAACCAAAGTATTGTCAGAAGCCTTGATCAAGAAACGTTAGTGCACAATGTTCCTGATTTCAAGAGTTCTGTGAAAATTTTTTCAGTATCAGTTTTGTTTCGGATGGACTGGCTGCTTTCCCTAAATGTCGAATTATTTTTAGAAAGAATTCTATTGAAATTCAGATTCTCATGACTCTTTCCCGATTCAGGACAAATCCTCATTTTAACTCTGGCTGATACTTCAATGAGTTGTACAGACTGTGTTGTATGAAATATTCTCCTGGAATATTTTCTGGATTTGGAGAGTGATTGTGTAGAAACCTATTTAAATTTTAAATTACAATAGGTGATTCATGATTATTTTGTTATTGTCAAAACGTTTCATATGGAGTAGGCAACCCAAGTTGCTTCTATCGATCCGCTAAGATGTGTATTCTTTTATAATGATGTTTTACGGTTTTTAAATAAACATTCAACTTAATAAAACTTTTGGGTCGTTTAAAATGATAATCTTGTTAAATACTTTTCTAACATGGATATTTTAATTAGATTTCAGTAGATTTTCGATTAACTCTTCCTGATTCATAATATTCAATCATATCTTTTCTTGGGTGAGATTTCAATATTCAAAATAAACTTTCAAGTTATAAATAGTTATTGCCAAAACTATTTAGGAAAATTTATCAGAATAGAGTTGCGCCATAAGCGAGTTATAGTCATAAAAACGGATAAGTTTGAAAAGTCATTTCTGGGAAAGGGTCTTCAGTTCTCGAGTAGTTTTTGTGTTGATTGGTGAGCCATGGGTCCAATTTCAACAATAATAACTACATGTAGAAAGCCAAAATCAATCTCTTCCTGAATTATATTCCTATGGCTGAGAATGGATCAAATGAGCGAATGAATGTCATTATGTACCGTCATTGATGAAATGAGTAGATTAAACTCATTCGAAACATTGTGTCGTAATTTTATGAATCTGAATCAATTCCATGACGAATGTTTGGAATACAAACTGGATAGAAAAACATGTTTTTTGTATAATGGGCTCATTCACACTAATTTATTTTTTTATTGAAAATTATATATTATGAAAGTAACTCATCTCTCGAGTATTCCACAAAATGTTCCAGTTTATCTCAATTAACAACTGAGCAAGAGCAATTGAAAATGAAAATGAGATGGCCCGCGGTACATCGTGACGTCACACCAGGCAAACGAGCTTCGAGCGGTGGCAACCGGGCCTGTAGTTAGAGATTATGAATCGCTGCTATCGTCAATTCAATTTAATTTTCTTCAAAGTAATGTATATATCAATTCTGGGTAACTGGCATTTTTGAGACAAAAATCTATAATTAATAAAGAGTACCTTGAGATTCCAAAACATAATTTCGGATTTTTCTCTATGACGTAAATAGATGTTCGCTCAGTATTGTTTTTCGAATTCCAGTTTTCAACTATTATTCCAGACAAAGAAGAATCTGATGATGTATCAACAGAAGTCATGTCTGATGTACTCAAACTCTCACTGTCCTCGGGGGAACTAAGTAGTCATTTTTTCCAATACTTTCTGTATTTTCTATTTCTTTAGAACGATTTCTGTTTCGGTGGTATATAATATTTACGGTCTGTTTAGCTTTTGATCTTCGAAAAACCTGTTTATTAATTTGAATTCCAACATCAAAGGTCTTTTCCTGTGTACCTGCTTCATCAGACATGATTTGATTTTCAGCGATATCTTCGTTACAAAGTATTCAACAAAATTTGTTTTTCCTTTTTTTTGAACAAACGGTAGAGCTTTAGATGTATGGGCCGTCGGTCTATCAATCTGGCAATCAAATATATGCGGAATTACGCCTGGTTTCAATATAATTTTTCCCACTTCCATAGTTTTGATATACATGTAATTTTCTAAGTAGTGCTCAGAGTAAACTATAATTATTGTGATGTCGACTGATGTGACGTCAAGCTTGACCACGCCCCGTTTCCGTGAACGCCACATTCAACAATTAATTTGAGGGGGAAGATAAATAGTGAAAATTCAGATTTTTTGCAGATGTACTATATGAAACATAAACTTTCAAATTATGAAACAAAAAAAAATGTTAAATGAGCCCATTCTATGTTCACATAAAAGTAGTTTCATCGAAAGTATTTTTTCTTTCATGTAACTCAAGAGAATACTTTATCTTCCAGTTTGTGTCTGAAAGTGACTTCTTTGCATGATCTGCAAATCTTTTGAAATTATTTGCTTTCTTCCTTTCTTTGGAAGATTCTATCATTTTTTATATAAAAATGGAGAAGTAGAAAGCCAAAACCTGAAACCAAGGATATTTCTTGGTATTTAGCTGAAAATAAACTACTTCGTACATTAGTCAAGAAGCTAGATCTAAGTGTTAAATATGCAATGAATACTGCAGTTTGTTGAAGAAAAAATGATTAATTTTGACCGAAAAACATGACACATCACTAAAAGAAGGATAATGAAATTCCAGACACTGGCCTCGGTCAGAGTCATACTTTTTCAAACCCGCCCATATATTATTCAGAAACAAATCAAAGATCAATAAAGGATAGGAAAATCCCAAAAAACAGCCTTGATCGGGGTCAAACTTTTTGTAGTCCTTCCTTATCACTCTTAGAATCAAAACAATCACATGCACATAAAACAATACCTACAGAGTAGCCACTAAAACTGCTGCTGCTCCAAATTTTTCCGAATCGCAGGTTAACCAAATGCTTTTTAGTCGCAACATTGTTAGCTCAGCTATAACGTAAGCGCGCCAAATGACTGGGTGGTCTGTATCGTTGAGGGATATGCCTGGCCGTCAGTCAGAAAATCCAAATCTACCGCCACGATGTTCTGCGTGGACTCTGATTAGCTGGCGAGCTGCGTGACAGTTTGAGAACGCTACGTGACAATTTGGTACACTCTGATTGGTTCACCGCCTAACTAGCTGGGTGACAGGACACTACGTGACAATTTGGTGCACTCTGATTGCCTGGCTCGTCTGGCGAGCTGAGAGGCAACCTGGCTGGTGTGATGACGTCACAGTCTGCCTGAATTAGGGCAAGATCTACTCTCGTATTACAGTTATGAATGTCGAAATTTTTGAGTAATATATCCTTATTTCGATGTATTTCTAGCAAACCAGTGTAAATGTATAAGGTAGGCAGAGGTGATACCAAGCAAAATCAAGAACTGATGGCGATGGTCTCTAAATCCTAAGTTTGCCAAAATGCGTATGGCTTTTTTCTAGCTTCTAGATATTCTCATAACACCCGGATTTCTTACATGTTTCAACCTTCACACAAGGAAAAAAATCTAGATAATTTAAGGACAACATAATTTACATGATTGGTCCACCAAAGTTGATTATCAATTATGAAACCATTAACTGCAACAAATTCTATATCGGCCAAACCAAGAAACCTCACAACACACGTCATACAAAACAAACAAAACTTTTCCCCACCAGAAAACATCAAACTCATAAAACAAGTCAATGAAGGAAACCGTATGAACATCTAGGAAAATTAATATCCATAAATTCAAAAGTCATAATTTATTCATCGAGGAACAAATACAAATCAAAACACAAGACCTAACATTTAATATACTCCACAAAACAATACACATTCCCAGAAACAATGGACCTAGAGAAACACCAACACAAAGAATATTACCTGAAGTAACCCAAGTACGGGCAAATTTGAAGAGATATCCGGGTTAAAAGAGAGGACAAATATCTGCACTAAGGTGTTCTAACCGTATAAAAGAACAAACAAGAAGATAAAACGTTCAGTTTGAGAAGAATCATGATGATAGCTCAGTTTGCTATCGAAAGCGCTCGCATATAATAATTAGAAGTTATTAGATGGGTAGTCTTTGATCATTGTATGGACTTCAATTCTACAAAAATACTAGCAATTGAACACTACTATTACAAAAGACTCTTTTAGAGATGGCTTTCATCTCACAATCACCTTCATGCTTTAATAAAAAAACTGATATCAACCATTTCAGTGAAATATATTCCTACCTGTTGCACTTGATTCAAGGAAATGGCCAAAACCTTTCTAATGATTTGTCAAATTTCTAACATATATTTAAATGTTGGCTTTACTTTTATTCAATTCCGAGTATTTCATGTTGTGAAATTCTTGAATTTATATTCTAATATTCTAATACATCTTCAATTTTAATCAAATAAAAGTTTGGACATCTGTCAATTTCTTTTCCATTGTGTTCTATGAAACTGGTTTTTGAGTTGCCTCAACTGATTAGATTGGCACCACTGTTAATATTTGACCTTGATGTAAAAAACAAGGGACCATTAACTTCAATATTCGAATATTTCCGTTATTCTGTTACTGCGTCCTATTAAATTTCAACATTACGTTAGTAATTGAGAATTTTCACTCACCAATGAACACCAGTAAAATTTGTTTTTTTATTTTCAGACTGAAGAGGAGGAATCAAGTAAACAAGACTAGGAATCTCAAATAATGTAGTGTATGTTATCAGTTGTTATTTTTTGTTATTTATGGTATAAGTATCAAACATACATTTTTATAATTGGTGTAATATAGTTTTATGCAAATACATTTGAAACCATTTTTTTGTTATGATATTTCACTATTTCAGTTGGTACAAGAATGACTGAAAAAATATTGAAGAAAATATTTTCATAATATTTGAGTGTACAAATTGTAGTATTGGCCAACTGCTATAAAATATAATCAAATTTTGTAAAACAATTAAAGTTCGCAAATATTTGTTTTTTTTAATATGAGACTGATAAAAAAGTTCTTAGAAAATAATTTTGTTTCCGACAAACAAATACAGCTGTATATATAGCTATATAGCCGTACAGCAGTCAAGCTGCTGGAAAATAATTCCATGAAAATCAGAAGATGAATAGTTAAGCACCATTCTGATCATTCCCATATTGATTTCAATTTAATTTGTGCACATCCTCGATTGCACAAATCAATCTAATGCAGAGTGCACTGAGTGCTAGTTGACGTTGGAAGTCACAGCATTCTGGGAATGACCTCTGACATTATGCCTCTAACTGTCAACTAATAACTGCCGTATACAGTACGTTTCTCGAGTAGAGAGGACTGGATCGTCGGGAAGAAGGAAATATTAAGAGCTGATAGTGGTGGGTTCACAGATGGGTCAAAAACTCCTTCAGGTTCTGGTGCAGGTGTTTTCAGTAGCAGACCCAGGACAGAGATATCAACCTATGTGACTGTATTTCAAGCGGAAATCTATGCTATTGAATTGTGTGCGGAGAGATTGGTAGAATCCAACCTCACACACAAGTCAATAAAAATTTTCTCGGACAGTCCAGCGGCGTTGGTAGTTCTTGGCTCCTATCGAGCAATGTCTACATTGGTAGCAAATTGTCTAAAACAACTCTCCTCAATAGGAAGATTCAACAAATTGTTTCTGGTCTGGATTCCTGGCCACACTGGCCTGGAAAGCAATGAGGCTACTGACTCTCTTACATAAGGAGGGTGCTGCAAGTACCTTCATTGGACCAGAACGTGTCATTGGCATTGCTTTAGGTTTTGTCAAACAAACATTGAACACACGGATGGCAAGAAGATTTAAAGACTTTTGGCAAAATCTTGGATTGGCCACTCCAAGGCGTTCATTCACCTTTCGAAGCATGAAACCAAACAGTTGTTGGACTACAGTAGGAATGCATTACGATGTCTAACAGGCCTCTTCACAGGTCACTGTCGTCTGAATCAACATACGCAGAGACTCGGACTGGTCTTCAGTGTGTATCGCCTCTGGTTGGAAAGTGAAACAGCACAGCATATACCTACTTTGTGCCTGCCCCACTGCGAACCGAATCAGGTTTTCAGAGTTTGGTAAAACCGCACTCTTACCATGTGATCTGAAAAATCACTCACCATATAAACTAATCGGCTTCGTTAAGAAGCTGGGTTTATTTGGTCAGCTCCATTTGCAAATGAACTGGTGGCTGTGAATCTTCAAAATTGAATGGATTGTTGAACATTGGAAATTCCATTTCATTCATTATGTGGAAGTCTTCAGAAAGATTGTTGAATTCCGTGATCAGATTTTGTAGAAGTTGAGAATATTGATCAAATGAGGGAAATGATCCAAAGTTTGATTTTTCACCTTATTTTCCCTCAGCCACAACTCTGTTTCAAAGACTTGATACATGAATACATTTGACAGGCAATCAGATTTTTACCCTGTAACTTTATATTCAGATCAGTCAAGTATTTATTCATATCTACCAGAAAGGCACGATCAACCCACCACTTATTATTGTCATTATCAATTTCTAACATGAAAGTTTGAATAGGGTCACGTAATGCAAAAACTCTTTCTCTTCTTTGTCGTGGATAGTACACTGAATTCAGACACTCTTGAGTTTGATTCAAAGACCGAGATGCGTCATCGCTGAAAATGCTTTCACGATTCAAGGTAAATAGGAAAAAATATATATCAAATGGTATTTTCCTCCAGCATCTGTCAAAATGTTGCTTAACGCTGAAAAAGCCTTCAGTTTATGGGGGAATATTTCCAGTTTCAAATTCAAGTACTTATGTTCGTTTCACATCTATTGTGAAACCTGATATCGCTGGTACAAAGAAGACATCCATTCCGACGAAAATGCATGGGTAATGAAATGTGTCAATCTGAATTTGATGGGCTCGGGAGATTTTTAGCTCATGCTTACTCACCTTCGAATGATATATGTACAGAAATTCATTTAGACTAGGACAAATCGTGGGATCTTGATGGAAACGTAGGTACGAATTTTCTCATGACCCTAACACCCTTAATTGGGCATGTACTTGGATTGGGACATAGTAGCGAAGAAACTTCCATTATGTTTCCTTGGAAAATATGTCGAAATTGCAATTGAATCTTTATATGGTCGACGTACCACCACCACAGCAACAACAACTCAACGTTCTACTTCAACAATAGAAACATCAACTTCTAATACTCCCCAAATAACAAAGAAAACATCCCTCAGACTGAAATTAAAAACCTTTGCAATGTAAAAATCCCAGATTTTATGTTTTTGGCAGAAGCTCCAGAATTTCCAAATCACAGACTATATATGTAGGTTATAAAAAATATTTATGGAAAATGGATTTGAATGAGATGTTGATACCTGCGAAACCTGAGAAAATTGCTTATTATATGAATGGAAACATTTCTGTTAACCAAATTTTTCAAAATTCAGCAGGCGACATAATATAAGTGTATTAACAACTAGAGGACGGATTTCAGATATATTTCCGAGAATTCCAGGAGATATCACAGGGGCTTTTCGAAATATTGATGGACATATATTTTTTCAGAAAATACTCCTACCATAAATACAATGAGTTCACTCGTAAAATAGTTGAAGATGGACGATTCGATTGTCATTTATTTGGTATTCCATGTCCTGCAGAAGGACTTTTGCAGCAGCTCAAAGAACTCCTGAAGAAAATTACATCCATTTATCAATAAATTACTATTTATTTTGCAATATTGTACATAATGTAATCAATAAATGCTCATGTAGCAACACACAAAAAAATTATATTATTATGTAATCAGAAACTTCTTGAAAAAAGGAGCCGATGTTTCATTTCAAATCATTCACATGAACAAGACGAAGATTTCATTGTATATTGCCGAAAAATTCATTATAATAAAGAAGAAATTTGAAACTCCATGGAAATCAAAACGAGACCAAATCGTCACATAACGTTAAGGAACCAAATTGATGAAACTTTGTGTGACATATTGCTGTAAATGATTTCAAAATTCCCTCGTCACCGTACGCGTTGTATGACGATTCCAATAAACGCTCTTTCGGTACATCATAACCTTTGTTTTGTTTTCTCTATGAATCAAACATCTCTCACTATTCAATAATTATTGACGAAGCACTATGTTATATATTATGTTATATAACATAAGTTTTCGTTTTCATTTTTTTTTAATTTCATTGCTCTCTATTATATTTTATACTATTTGTGTTTATATATTTTATACCTTGTTTTAGTCACTATGGTATTTTGATACGCCTTGTATACGTTCCTCACGAACTAACAAACGGTCGAGCGAATAAACGAACTAGCCCCTTTGTATATATTATCAACAAAAAATTTTCTCAATCTAACACGGACACGAAGTGCTTTAAACCTACAATGCATCGTGTGGCATATCTGCTACTTTTAAAATAATAAACAATTCTACCTCCTTATTTATTAAAGATTATCTCCTAAATGCATATTGTAGATACTCAGATACACAGTTTATATTATTGTCCATCTAGTGAATCATAGGTGGCGGGACGGGTATTGAATGTAGAAGTTTGTATATGGTGGTTAGATTTAGCGGCTTTTGTGTGTGTCGGGTGCTCAAATTATATTGTTTTTAACAGAAATTAATGCAATTTTGTCCAAAAACTCCGTGGATTTGCTAATTTAGGTATGTACTAAAGTATTTTGTTGAATTAGCTTGTAGTAAAACGCCTCAAAAATAAATCGGCGTTGTTTTTTAAAAAATGTAGCACAACTGCTACAACATGCATTATTCCTTTTTTTTTCTTTTTATAGCGCAATGGACAGAAATCCTTGTTTACGAAAATGTCTCACAGAAAAAGAGTTGCAAAAGCTTGCAGAAAATTTTTATGAAAGCGAAGATGATTTGCAAGATTTGGAAGAAGAAAATTTTCCCGAGAATATTGAAGATTGTATAAACTTGGCTTCTCGAAAATTTCAGAATCCCGTTGATTTTTCTGACTTAGATATTGGAAAATATACCTATTATTTTTGATCATGAGTTAGATGAAGTAGATGCTATTAATTTGGAAACTATATGTGACAATCAATCAGATCCCATCACTCAAAATACAGTATGTGATAATGATTCAGATCCTATCGACCAAAATTTTCCTGAAAATGAAAGTTTGTTTACATTCGATAAAAAGGCCTTCAAATCTATGTTCTGGAAAGAAGCTAGTTTTGAAGAAAATTCTGAATGTACAAAATTTGGTGGTGACGATATTCTTCCAAAAAATATGGAGCTATCAACCCCCTACCAGTTTTTCAGGTAAAAGTATAGCTATATTTCTCTTTGCATTATTTTTGAATTTGTATTTTTTCAGGTATTTTTTTCCGACGATTTATTTCAAAAGATTGCAGATAAATCGAATCTCTACAGCGTTAAAAAAAATATTTCCAAACCTGCAAATATCACGACAAATGATTTAAAACAGTACATAGGCATTTGCATTTACATGTCAGTCATAAATATGTCAAACATCAGAAGGTATTGGTCCGAGGAATTCGGTTTTGACAAAATAAAAATACAATGAGCATTAATAGATTTGAAAAAATCCGTGAAATGCTACATTTTAATGACAAAAGACTTCCAAAAGACCATGACAATCATAATCGCTTGCATAAGTTGCGGCCTATCATTGATCACTTGAATAATAAATTTGGAAGTATTCCATTCGAAAAGCGTCTTTCAATAGACGAACAAATGTGTGCGACAAAGGCCTGGCATTATATGAAACAATATATGCCACTAAAACCCCACAAATGGGGATACAAAT